AAAAAAAATTACCTTGCTAAAGAAGAATGCTTTGCCGAGGCCGTAGGATTTTTTCGACATTTTTTCAGATTTTTTTGGTACTCGAATCGCTCGTTGAAAGTCCGAAAATTTAGAGAGATAGAGAGTTTAAAGAGAGAGAAAAAAAAAGGGTTAAGGGCAAAAGAGTAAAAGGGGGGAAGGGCGGTGAGTAGTAAAGAGGGACGGTGAATAGTAAATGAGATAAAGAAGCAAAAGAAAAAAAACCCGTGTGCAGTCCAGAAGTGCAACCAAAATAGCAAAGAGGAAAATGAAGTGGCAAAATTGTAAATAAAATTATATCGACTATTGCATTTATGTTGTTCATACTGTAAATTGGTAACTTTATTTGTAATGAGCGAAAATGCTAAGGAGCCATCCGATGGCTCCGTTACGGAGCCATCGAACTCATGTGGCATCCCATGTGAGGCCCACACTTACACAATTATTGCCACATGAATCCGATGGCTCCATAACGGAGCAATCGGATGGCTCCTTAGCATTTCCGGTAAGGGTCATTGTTTAGAAAATGAATAGCATAATGTTAATGCACAATAACAATAAAATGATAAATACTTTATAATTTATACAGTAGTTGAGATTTTGCATTCCTGGATTTTGTTCTCTACTGAAAACAAAAAAGCAAATAAAAACATCATTATTGTTTTCTAAATCAAATTTTGAAATATCTGGCAACGATTGACAAAGTAAAAAAGAAATCATTATTACAATATTCTTATGTTAATTTAAAAAGAAAAAGTTACAAATGGCATCTAAGTTCTGTAAAATCATCTGAAAACTTAAGGATTTTTGTTGAATTTCACCAGTTTCATTGGACGTCGACAAGCTATCTTATCTAGAACTCCCTCTTCCCTGGTGTTCACCCACGGTATCACATTTAGAATCTTTGGCTTTTGACTTATCACTGTCACCTACATATATCTCAAGATTCCTCTCAAGACTGATAAGCGTGTATCCTGCATTTCTCATTGTGCATCTGAACAATATAAGATGCAATCAAGAGAGAGTTATAGTAATCAACTCATGTTCGTATCACCTTTCATACCAATGCATATAGGAAGCCGAAAAAATCTAAGGGTGGAAATGTTCATGCCAACAATTGATAGGTTAATGGTAGGCTACAAAAATGAAGATAAATAGCTTCTCAGGAAACAAATTTATTGTTGAATTGTGAATTTTGGGAATCATGACAGCATAGAAACAGTTTATTAAAAGTTCACACAGTGAATGCATTTCAGTGTTCTGCATGTTCATGAAAAAACTATTATCCGTTATCCACTTTTTCATTCATTAACACAATATAAAAATGACTCATATTATTTTTCCCGTATAACATGATGACATATTGGAATTCATCAGGCTACAACATCATTCAATTCCCGGAGGAAGTGCGTCAAGCAGCGAATTTTTACATCTGAAACTTTAGACTCAAAGATAACAAGTTGCGAGACTTACAGAATGATACGGAATAATACAAAGGGGGGTAGTTCCGGTGCCTCAAGCATCCTTCTCTTAGTCTTATCCAAGTTGAAGAAGGTTCCTATGGAAATCGAAGAGATACCGACTCTTGAAAGAATTGTGTGTTATATCTGCGAAGGAAATTGTACCTCAAGCTTGAGTTTCTTAAATTAACTTTAAAAACACACAACATGTAGGAGCAATTAATAGCCATATCCTTAACTTCAGTGGAAGAGTGCTAATCAGAAGTGGAAAAGATGTGGAGAATCAAAAGAGCATTAAAAGGAACCTAAATGAAGTAAATAACTGAACTTCACAAACCTGGATGCAAAGAATAACAGCTAACCTAGCCTTGGCAAACAGAGCAATGCTTTTATCTATCACCGATCCATCATTATCAACGTAACATGACTCCGTTAAAAAATATCAAGTTTATGAGATATTTTAGGACTGTTAACTAAAACAGGCGCTGACATACTTGATTAGTCCCTCTTCCTATTTGGACAAAAAATAAATTTCACACATTTTGAGTTAATCAATGTGTGTCTTGTTTTGTTTCTTCCTTTTATAATGCATGATGATGAGGTTGTAAGCAAATTAATTAAGAAATAAATAGTGTTTGTCTCAAGCCATCTGCACACACCCACACCCCGCAGATATCAAGATCTTTTTATGAAAAAGAATCATACAGAACATTTGACTATTTAAGTATCTCCTAACAGTATTGCTTCGTGGTATCCACCTAAACTCAGAGATGTCAAAGTACAGAGATGACCAAATCAAACATTTTACAAATTCCAAAGCATAATTTAGCGAGCATTCACTGCCATTTCCTCGATTTGAAAAAAGACGACGAGTTGTAAAGTATTTATTAGAATAATGAATGATAGTTGTTGGGTGAACTAGGCTTTCCAAAAAGCCCGGCCGGGAATTTGTCAGACATGAGGTTGGTCGTGAGTGTAAAAAAACAAAACCACAAACTCAAAGTACTATTGAAAAAACAAAACCACAAACATACAGAATATTATAATTCCAATCATACAGTATTTTTTTTTTATTCAACGTTGGAATTATGTATACTGTTGATAATAAGCAAATTTAAGGTGAAGTATTTGGTTTTAGATAATTTGATACCATACAAGATTCTCTACGGTGCAAAACATGATTAGGCAGATAATGACATAAACACAAGAGTGTGATTAGGGAGAAAAACCAAACGTGAATGCAACAAAGCCCGTGGCAGATCGAAACAGAAAATCATAGAAAAAGACAAAAGCAAATATTGAAAACCGAATAAAGTTTGTAATAATTAAAGATTATTCACTGATATTTCTCAATGAAACAAAATAAATAAATAAACAGATATTTGTCTAAATAAATTTGAAACACAACTTGCATAACACTACCTTTCTCACTCCCTCTCTCACGCACACAAACTGCCACTGGACACACACACTCTGTGTACACACACAAGACACATGCACATACACAGTACACACACGACTCACACATTCACACACACACACACACACAGCCACACACTGGTACATGCACACACACATACGACACACACACAGCCAGCACACATACCACACACACACACACACACATATGGTTTTCAATTAACTAACATCATCTCCACCAGCTTGAGCACAATTCACAATTTTGTAAGAAACCGTATAAAATCATCAGTAAAATGGTGGAGTAAGTAGCAGATATAAATTTTCAAATTTCGAAATAGAAACACAATTGGGAAAAACACACAACACTTCTGCTCGATATTAAATGAAGTCTCCCAGAAGAGCGTTAACAAAAGGGAGCTCAGTACAATGTATGAAACATATGCACAGAGTTCTCTACTTTTTGTTTTCCAGTTTTAAGGTAATTGCTGTAAATACTAACCAGAGGCTCTTTTCATGTAGAATTTCTAAAGTCATAATATTGATGCATTAATTTTCCATGATAAATTATTGTTCTTCACTCTAACACAGTTTGAGATCATCTGTTTAAACCATTGGAAAGAAGCAGATATAGTTTATCATATAAACGAAATCTAACTTCTCACATGACTGAGAAACAACGTTTACAATAAAATCAAATATGTGACTTTTTGTTCAGCTGCTACCATTCATTTGGGGGAAGGTCGAACAAAACAAATATTTTTAGTTGACCTTGGACTCAAAAAATGCAACTGAAACTGTTTGTTGCTCGCAAAATCCAATCAAGTTAACATTTAGTTTCCAATTTTACATTAAATAATAGAAACTGGGATACAGAAGCAACAAAGAGGAGCTCTTATCTTGTGTAGCAAAACGGAGGCCATGACCCATGAATGTGAATTCACCACAGCCATTTGGCACCCTTTATGTGCCCTTCATTAATTATAATTTTTGCTATAGTCGAGCCTTTCAGATGAAACAAAAGAAGTACAATAATGGTGTTTTTCCATGAGTCGAGTATCCTATCACCTTTTATCGCATATGCTCGATTCTTACAAATTATTGGTTCTTCGGAGGTGAAGAACGCTTTAAGTTGATCCACATTCCAGTCCCAGAAATCAAAATCTCTAAAGATCGAACCACGTTTATATAATATACATTACACAGTGATTATCATATTGAACTACTTCCAAGTTATACCAAGATAAAAGCTAAAATCATCACAACAGCACCAACACACAACAAGTTAAATCAGCGGTTAAAAATTTCACAACCAATAACAAAACACAAATTGCATAAAGCAACACTGGCTAGAAGAGTAATTGATTGTAATTGCATTTGTAGAGCAAACTTTTGGCTCAGTTTTTTTTTTTTCTTTTTTTTCTTTTTTTTATCCTGGTATTAGTCTCTTTTAGCTGCAACCATTATCATTTCAAAAGAAAAAGTGAAAATCAATTCAACCATCTGGAGTTCTTTATCATATGTAAAATTCATACAAAAAAAGAACATTCTACTATATTATCATGAATAGGTATCACTTGAAAAACCAACATAACATAGATATATGTTCTTACCATTGATGTGGACAGTAGCCAGTTCAAATCTTCATGAAACTAAGGTCCTGTCTGAGTATACATTTTGCGAGTATACGTTATCTGATGAGAAGACACAAAGAAAGGAAGCCAATCGTGCTTGCTCTCGCTGTCGAGCAGTGCATACTTTTACAGTGTATCCTCTGTGGCAGCCATTTCGGGAATCCAGATCAGCTGTGGCTGCACGTGCTCTCAACTTGTCCATCCAATTTATTATGGCTGCAGGACAAAGGCTCCTGGCAGAAAGTGGGGCCAATGAAGGCTGGCCCGCCAGAAAACACGGTGCCTGGCAACTGGTCGGCCAATCGAAGGTTCGTCTGTAAGTTTTGCGGCTTGATATTCGATCTACCGCCCGATATCGGCCGCCACCATCAGGCGGCTCACATGAGCCACACCTCTGTTGGCACCTGACAAAAACAACATTCAATACTATGCACATAAACCTAAGTCGGGTCGGCTTACCCGTCCCCGTTTTAAAAAGGCTGTGAAATCGGCATCATACAAGATTAGAAATAAAAGCATTCAAAAGTTGAAGAAGCAAAAATCACCTCTGACGTAGGATCAATCATTAAAATGAAGTGGTCTGAGGAGAATGAACTTTCGGAGGCAGGATTGCCAAAGATGATTTCAGTGGTGGACTCTAGTTTGTTAATCCGAGGACGGTAGTTTGTGGGTTCCCGTCTCAACATAATATCCAGATGCTACATGCACAAATGAAAATGCATCAGTAATGAGATTTACAAGAACAATCCCATAAATGATCAGACCTTGTGAGTTGTGACAGCCAGGAAAAAAAACAGGTGAGTAGGCTTACGGATAGAAATAGGTTCATCCCGGTCAAAACTGACTGTGGCTAATTAGCCTTGCAATCTATGGACGGCTTCCCCTCATACAAAATCACTCGATCTGCTAGGTACGTCGCCATTATGAAATCATGCTCGACAACAACTGCAGTCTTTTTTGCGTGGAGTATGAACCTCTTTATGAATTTTGAAGCAACTATACGCTGCTCTGAGTCGAGATATGCACTTGGTTCATCTATTAAATATATATCTGCAGGCTGCAAGCAAAAACACAAAAATAAGCAAGTTTAAAGTTAATTAACAACACTGAATACACACTTCAATGAAGACGAACAGTAGAAAATACCAGCATCCGTATAAAAGTAGTTTTTCCACCAAGCATCACAACAGTTTGTGAATCGATAAATTCACCCTCCATGACCTTGAGATTGAAATTCCCCTGAGTTTTGGTCATGGCCGGGTACCTGTATCTTGCATAAGTCTCAATTTCCTCAGAACATTTCTGTGGTGTCTCAGCAACCTGAAAAATGAGGAAAACTACATTAGTAGCTATTTTCACATCAGTAACCACTAATCCATAAACAAAACTACAAAATCTAGGGTTTAAAGTCGAGGAAAAGAACAATGGAGGTTGCAAAGGAGAAAAAAAAATCAAAATCCATACCTTGATGATTCTACGGGGTAAATTGTTGTTGGCCATCGGATCTACTTGCAGATCTTTCTTCATCCGTCTGAGAAAGAGGCCTTGGTCGGCCCCCCTCGACCTCCCTCACTGATAGACGGCGCCATTAAATTCAGAGAATTCTCCGAATCGCCGCTTTTGCGGTTGAATCTCGTCGATGGGATTGCGAAATCAGGCCCGATAACCGTTGCATCTCACCGTGGGGATTAAGTCGGGACCAAGAGCGAGACTTTAAAGCCCGGCAAGAACACCCAAGAAATCATCATAAAAGGTCTCAGAAGCTCGAATTGGTCGAAAAAAATGGCAGCAACCTCGACCCGCGAGTTGCTGCCAAATGCGAGATCTGGACGCCTCGCGTAGCACCGCCACGCTGATCGCCGGAGCTGCTCGTTGCTCTCTGTCGCCGGAGGGCAATTGTGTCCGCTTCGACTGAGCGGCGGCGGAGACGATCTGGTTGCAGCCGTCGCCATTAATGAAGATGTACTTGAAGGCAGGCCGCTCGCCGGCACCCGTCGTCGGCTCAACGGCCAGAGTGACGAACCATATGTCGACAGCCGAAAGCCGAGCCGAGATATGACGATCTTGGTTTGAAAGCTTGGGATTTAAAGAAGAGAGAAGAAAGGGGAAAGGAGAACCATCGTCTGAAAAGGTGAAAAGTAGTACGGGCGAAGCTTT